AAATGTAGTACATACATACACTAGAATATTATTTGGCCTTAAAAAGAAAGGGAATTCTGACATTCTGCAACATGGATGAAATTTTAAGATCTCATGCTAACTGAAACAAGCTAGTCACAAAAGGACATGAAGCATTTAAAGTAAATTTTTAGAGGCAAAAAGTGAAATAGTGGTTTACAGGGTCTGGAGACAGTAAAGAATGGGGAGTTAATATTTAATGTGAATAGAAATTTGGAAGATGAAAAGAGTTCTGGAGATAGATGGTGGTGAGGTTCGACAACAATGTAGATATACATAATGCCACTGAATTATGCTCTTAAAAATGATTAAAAGGGTAGATTTTATGTTATGTAAATTTTACTACAATTTTTTAATTAACAAAAGCTCTACAGATATCTAAGAGCTACTATCATGATCCCATGGAATAAACTCTAGAGTAAACACATCTATTGGGTTGTCAGAAAAGTCATGATGTATTTTTTTCTGTTTTTCTATGCAAAATTGTGTCATGACTCTTCCAACAACTCAGTATTTCCTTCAACATTTCCTCATGTGATATGAATGGTCCATTCATACTCCATTCTGGTCACTCTGCTCTGAATGTTTTCTAACTACCTATTTAATCAAAAGACAATAGACCTCAACATGTCCAGTTAAGAACAGAAAACATCTATCACCTCTCTCAAAAAGGTTACTAGGTTATTAATAATGCAGTCAGAGTTCCCAGTAGTTTATTAAAACACTACTAATTTCTATAGAGCTAATGTTCAATCTGAAACTCTGAATTCTTTTCTAATGTGCCATCACTAAAACATTCCACAGGTTAGAACTCTTTCAGTGATTAAAAAGATAGTCAAGGGGCCAGCAGGTGTCATGGTGGTTAACAGCACTGGTTCTAGCAACCAGCCAAGTTCAAGTCCCAGACGTGGTGGCTTGCTTTCTCACTTTCTCTTTCTCTCTCTCTCTCTCTCCCTCTCTCTCACTCTCTCTCTCTCTCTCTTCCCCTTCTGGTCTAAATAAATGAATAAATAAATAAAGTTAAAATAAAATAATTCTTTAAAAAAGTCAAAACAGACTATGCAAACTGACTTAGGTTTTTTAAAAAAAACTATATGTACAGATAATGGTGTAGACATGGTGTAGACATGGTGCTGGCACATAACAAAGCCATGTAGCTTGATTCAGGAGTTCACGTGACATAACCAGGTCCTAACTATTTCCTTTTTCTGACCCGGCTCATGCTTTTGTGTTGTCTTCATTCTTGTTGGGTCACTCTCTACCCATAGGTCACCAAGTAGCTCCCAGGTTCATGGGTGGTACAATAGAGCAAGAATATGGTTTCCAACAATCACAGTCAAAGTACCATTGAATTTCATGACTGACTCCTATCCCTGAATAAGTGTCTGTGGCCAACATAATGCTAATGTTGGGGAGTTTAGTTCTAGGTTACATGGTTTGCTCCTGACCAGGGATATAGTCAACTTCACCAAATCATCCCATGGGCTGAAAGTGGATAGAGGTGATCCTCAGAGAATAATCAGATTAAAGTTACCAGCAGGGTGAGGGGATTCTGAAAAACAAAAACAATCTGCTCAGCTACACTTCGATTAGTTCAAATAGGTATTTTATGGATTAAGGTATAGTCCCTATGTTTATCTCTATTAAACACAATCTTTGATTTAAAAAAAAATTTTGAGAGACATTTTTGCTATAGGGTACATGTGCTCACCAGAGAGACAGAGAGAGACAGAGAAAGCAAAAGTGACAAATCACCCCCCAGAGGAGATGACCACACTGCAATCCTTTCTCCTCCATTCTCCTCTTGGGATTTTAGGCATACACACACACACGTCCAGCATGAATTTTAAGCTGCCAGGCCCAGGACTTGGATTGCAACTGGCTATGTAAGAATCCAGCAACATAACCATTATGCTGGTCCCTATTTAAATTTTTTTAATTACAGAAAGGCAGAGGGACTCTCTAGTGGGGCGTGGTCACATTGCAATCCCTTCTCCATTTCTCACCCTGTCAAGTTTTGAGCATACGTATGTATGCCCCTAGTGTGTTTTTCAAGCCACTGAAACTGGGAGTTAAACCACAGCCAGCCATCTGGGTCTCTGGCTGCCTTAACCACTAGGCCGCAGGGCTGGCCTTAAATACAAATCTTAATCGCTTCCTTCTGACAAGAGGCTGTGAGAATTCTAGCAGGCAATGTATTTATTGTTTTTCTCAGCTATATACTCCACAGTGTAACAAATGCGCCTTACATATTTTAACACAGTCAGTGATGAACAGATTCTAAGTCATTTTATGTATGTTATACAAGCACATATGTACCATACAAACAGCCCATAAACACAGAGCTCCTCTGTCCACCACTGAACCTTCCTTCCTCGGAATACCAGAATAATGGATGTGGTCATATAACCAGATACCAGGCCCATCTTTGTCCTTAAGCCCAAGGATATTATAAACCATCTTAGCAAAATAGATTCTTGGAAAGGTTTCCAAAAAATAGAGCATTGATGTCTATATAATGTATGAATTATTTATTAGCCATCATCAACAAGAAATGTTTCTCTTACTTATCTCAGATTTCTAATGCTCTCTAAGCAAGTTAAAAAAATAGTAGAAGAAAAATATATACAGTTTTACTATATGTTCTAAGAGCATACAGGATTAAATATTAACTCTTTTTCTACTTGCAACAACCTTATGATATAAGTAGTTGTCATAACCATCATCATCATCATCATATCTATTTTAAAAACATTTTAAGGCTGAGAGAGGCAAACGGACCCAACTTTACACAGCTGCTTAGTATAAGCCAGGAATGGTACCAAAGTTGTCTTACTCCAGAGTCCTTGCCCTTAGCACAGAAGTGGCATTTGACCTTGAAAACCCTCAACTCCCACTTCTAGCCCCCAAGCAAATGTGCAAGTGAATCTGCTTAATTAATTAATTAATTAAAATTAAAATTACCATGAATAAATTAAGGAGCAACCACTCACTTTATAAAACAGATGGTGGTCTTATGCTAATTATTTTCACTAACAAGTCCTTTTCGGGACAGGTGAACTTGTTAAAAATCATTAATGACTGGGTCAGCAGGTGGCGTAGTGGTTCAAGCACTGATCTCCCACATGGCTGACTACAGTTCAGGTCCCAGATCCAGTGGCTTAAAAATCATGCCAGGCACATGTATGTGCATGCTCAAAATTCTAGAATGGAGGAGAAGGTATTGTGGTGTGGTCATCCCTCTGGTGTGTGGGGTGTGGTGATTTCCCACTTTCCCTCTCACTGTCTCTCACTGTCTCGCTCTGTCTCTCTCTGGCAAACACACACACCCTGTGGCCAAAACCTTAAAAAAAAAAAAAAAAGAACAAAAATCAGTGACTTCCTAAACATATTGCAACAAAGAAACCAAGACAAAGAGTTAGACCACTGCCAAGTAAAGATCAACTAGAACAGACAGCCCAACTGTGGTAGCACACTGGTTGACATTGCTATTCGGCAGACTGAGGCCACATGGGAGACCCGTATTCAATTCTCAACCCACCTTAAAATGCCAGACACAGTGGCATGTGCCTATAGTCCTAGTTATTTAAGAGGCTGAGGCAGGAGGATCATGATATGGCAAGACCATGTCTTAAAAACCAAACACATACATTCACACACATGTCCATGTACATACACACACACACACACACACACACACAAATAAAGATAAAAATAAAGATCACTTAGAACCAAAAAGTATCTATGACATCATGTCCAGAGTAGTAGAAAAATAAAAATTTAAAACAACTTTACATACACACCTGCTTTTTAAATTAAAAAAAGGAAAGAGAAAGAAAGTTCACGTTAGAAGAATTTCCGGTGTTCTCCAGGTAATTGAAATAATGGGGCTTTCATGAAAGGGAGATATATAGAGATGGAGCAAGGTTGAAAGAACTAACTAGGGATATTGAAGCACTATGGATTAACATCAGTGGGTAGCTCAACCCCGCTTATAGCTGAGGAAAATGGCAGGGGCAACGTTATCCAAGAACCCATTGAGATCTATCTCTAGAAAGGAAGAACCTCCTGGGACCAGCAGTTAGCATAATGGCTGTCACTGGACTCCCACGTAGTTGACCGCGGTGCAAGTCCCAGACCCAGTGGCTTAAACTCACGCTGGGCGCGTGTGCATGTGTGCTCAAGATCCCGAGAGGAGAATGGAGGAGAAGGGATTGCGGTGTGGCCATGCCCCCTGGGGGGTGATTTCCTGCTTTCTGTCTCTCTGTCTCTCTCTGTCTGTCTGGCGAGTGCACGCGCCCTATAGCAAAAACCTCTCCAAAAAAAAGAAAAAAAAAAAAAAAAAAAGAAAGGCAGAACCTCCTGGTGAGAGGGAGGCAGCTACAACTAGACACTGCACCGAGGGAGAGTGGGAAGAAATAGCCTTCCCTGTCATCCCTCCCCCAGTCTCCTGCCAGTGTTTCTCATGAGCAGGTAAGAGGGCAAGGGAGCCTTGGTGATGTGGTCAACAAGGGTCAGCCCTCGGGATACAGAGCATGACAGAAAAGGGAGGTGAGCACATCTAAATGGTAGGGAATGAGGAGCACAATGTATCTTTCAAAGATAGGTAAACTGAGTCCCTGAGATGAAAAGTAACATACTTCAGATTGAAAAGGAAACACAGCATCAAGATTAGGGCCCTACTGCTTTCTCTGGCTTCGCTGATTTTGAGAAGCCTGAATGCCTGGAGAGAATCATAACATCTCAAAGGATTTCTGATCCCTTAGGCTCCTTTCCAATATACCATGGTATTACAAATGGACCACAGTGCTCCACTTTTCTTCAGAAGTGGTGAGGGTGCCCGTGATCAGGATGACTCAGCCTCCTGCCTGGATTCACTAGAACGGTTTTAATGAATCACTTGTGTGGGTGCTGATTTGGGTGTTGCTATTCTTTCAGTGAACTCGCTCCACACACTCATAGTTATCTGTTTGATTCACAAAGGTGACTCATCTGAGGAAGTTGACCTGACCATGGTTTACCAGGCAGCGTCTAATGGGGATGTCAATGCACTGACTGCAGTGATTCGGGAAGACCCTTCCATCCTGGAATGCTGTGACAGTGAAGGTGAGCTACTGATACATTTTGGATCTGGAATGTTCTGCACTATCCTTTCAGAAATGGCCTTCAGAGATGAGCAGAGACCTATGGCACTATAACAAAATAGTTTTTATAATCAGTTTCTCTGTCCTAGTATTTCTAAGAATAATAATTTTAAACCAGTTGGCTTGTCCCAAGAAACGCTTTGAATTCCTTTATTATGACAACAAACTGTTTTGTAAAGTGAGTGGTTGCAATCAGGCCAGCCCATGGGCCAGCTGCTGGCCCCCATCGCAGCCTCCTCTTGCTCCTGCCAAGGCGTTGGAGGGGCCATGGGAACCTGAAGGCAAGGACATCAGGTTATCAGCAGAAGTCAAACCATTTGTCCCCAAATTTTCCGGGCTCAACGTGGCATGGAAGGAGTCCTCAGAAGCTTGTGTCTTCCCCAGCTGTGCAGTCACCTACTATCCATTTGTTCAGAAACCACCAGGGGCTGAGTGGTGTGGCCATCATTTACAGACTCTGTCCTCCTCTAGTACCTGTAGCAGTGTGCTTGAAGACAGTGCATTCGCTTATCTGGGATGAATTATTAAAGCCTTATATGGACTGCTCTAGATGCTGAAGAACAAAAGACTGTCTCATGGGCTTTGCTCCCCTTGTTGTCAATTTTATGCAGACTAGAACAGATGAAGAGGAAAGAAAATGCACTCATCTCCTCCAAATATATGTTGAACACATCAATAAAGTAGTCTAATATGTAGGAAAAAAGTGAATGGTTGCTTCTAACTTCTCTCTGGTAGTCTTATTGTTGTCCTCTTTGGAAAGGGGTGTCTTTTGTTTTGTAAAGTAGAATCACTTGTACATCTGCCTTGGAGCTGGAAGTGAAAGATGAGGGGACTCACAAGGTTAAACTTACCACTTGGTGGTAAGTCCAAGAACCAGACTGAATTCAATTATGACTTGTACTGACAAAATGTGAATGTAAATGAAGATACAATATGTCAATACCTGTGGGGCCTAGCTGAAGCAAGGCAAAGAAGAAACTTTATAACACTAAATGCTTACTTCAGGAATGAAAATAAACTTCAATAATTAATATAAGTTCCCACCTCAAGAACCTAGAAAAAGAACAGAATAAACCCAAACAGGAGGAAAAAAATCAAGAAATAAAATTGAAAATGGAAAAATAATAGAGAAAATCAATAAAAGAAAAATTGATTTGGTAAAGATCAATAAAATTGGCAGGCCTTTGGATAAAATGGAAAAAGCCACAGATCACCACTATCAGGAATGAAACTGAGGATATCACTACAGACTCATGCAGACATGTAAAAGATGATGAAGAAATACTACAAAACAAATCTACATATATAAATTTTACAGATCAATTTCTCAAAAAATATAATCTGCCATGGTTCATTCAATAGGAAATAGATAACTGAATAACCTCATAACTATCTAGAAAGTTGAATTCATAATTTTATTTTTTTTTAATTTATAATTTTTTGTTTGTTTGTTTGTTTTGGAGAGGTTTATTACTATAGGGCTCGTGCGCTCACCAGACAGACAGAGAGAGACATAGAGATAGAAAGCGAGAAATCACCCCCCAGGGGGGATGGTCACGCTGCAATCCCTTCTCCTCAATTCTCCTCTCGGGATCTTGGGCACACACACACACACGCGCCCAGCGTGAGTTCTAAGCCACTGGGTCCAGGATGCAAACCGCGGTCAACTACGTGGGAGTCCAGCAACATAGCCATTACGCTAACTGCTGGTTCCCTGAATTTATAATTTTAAATTCCCCCACAAAAGAAAAAAAGATATCTTCAGGCCTAGATGGTCTCACTGAGATTTCTGCAAACTTTTAAAGAATAGTCAACATCAATTCTACATGATGTCTTCCAGAAAAGAGGAAGAAACACTTGTCACTGATATTTATAAGCTAGTATTAACTTGATATCAAAACTAAACACAGATAATATAAAAAATAAATGTATGGAACAATAGTCCTCATGACTACAGATATAAAGACCTTAACTACAATAAATACTAGCAAATAAAATTTAGTAATACAGCCATGCACTTAATAGCAATGTTTTAGTCAATAACAAACCACATAAATGATGGTAGTTCTTAAGGAGTATATAGGTTATATCACACAGTCTTAGGTGTATACGAGGCAATACCATTTTCATATAGCACACTCTTTGATGTTTGCACAATGATGGAATCGCCTAACAATGCATTTCTCAGGTACTATCCCTGTCATTAAGTGATATGATTGCATATAAGAATAATAACGGGCCCAGCCAGTGGTATGGTCTGTAGCATACTGAACTACAGTGCTGGAGGCCACATGGCTTACTGCAGGTTTGACTCCTCAGCCTAGTCAGTATGTTCATACATGCTCAGGATCCTGATGAGCTAGAGCACTGAAAAAAGGGAATAATGACATGATAAGACCATGTGGAGAGCACTTCTCTTGCTCTCTTTTTCTCTTTCTCTCTCATGTATGTGCATGTGTTCTCTATTATGAATAAAATAAATAAACCTAAAATAAATAATAACTACTATATACTAAGGCCAAGTGGGGTTTGTTCTAGAGATGTAAATCTGGCTTAATGTTTGAAAGTCAGTGAAGTCCACCAATTTAACTAGCAAAAGAAAAAAAGGGTTATATTGGGCCAGCCCATGGCACAGCAGTTGAGGCAGCTGGATCCCATATGGTCGACTGCACAGTCTAGGTCCCGGATAGATGGCTTGGGAAACACATTGGACTCATGTGGTGCATGCCCAAAATCCCAAAAGGAGAGAGAGATGAAGAAAGGATTGCAGCGTGACCATTTTCCATGGGGCAGTGCTTTCTCTCCCTCTCTCTCTCTCTCGTTAGTAAGTGCACATGCCTTCTGATAAAACTAATGGAAAAAATGAAAAATAGTTATATCGATCAACACAGAAAAAGCACTTAGCAAAATTTAACATATATTTATGCTAAAAAAAACTCAGAAAAATAGGAATTGAGCAGAAATTCCTCAATTTGATAAAGAATACCAATAAGCCTTGGGCTAATATTTTAATTAATGGTGAATAACTGAATGTTTTGTGCCTAAGATTAAAAAAAAAAAAAGCCTGAATGTCTGTTCTCACCACTCATACTCAGCATAGTGCAATATGGGTGCAAAAGGCCAGAGCAGACAGGCTTTTAACACAGTAAAAGCAAAATATAAAACTGCACCTTTTTTGCACACCTTGATTTTCTTCATAGAAAATCCTAAGAAAGGGACCAGCAGTTAGCGTAATGGCTATGTTGCTGAACTCCCATGTAGTTGATCACGGTTCAAGTCCCGGACCCGGTGGCTTAAACTCACGCCACCGGGTGAGTTTAAGCATGTGCGTGCGTGCCCAAGATCCTGAGAGGAGAATGGAGGAGAAGGGATTGCAGTGTGGCCATCTCCCCTGGGGGGTGATTTCTCGCTTTCTGTCTCTCTGTCTCTCTCTGTCTTTCTGGCGAGCGCACGCACCCTATAGCTAAAAAAAAATTAAAAAAAAAAAAAAACTTTCCAAAAAGAAAAAGAAAATCCTAAGAAAACTACCAAAACACTCTTATAAGTAATAAGTGAGTTCAGTAAGGTCACAAGATACAAGATCATTACAGAAACATAAATCATATTTCTATATAGTAGCAATGACATGTGGACACCAAAATTAAAAATACAATGTCATTTTAAATTAGCCAATAAAAAAGAAATACTCAGGTGTAAATATTATAAAATATATATAGTACTTTTATACTGAAAACTATAAAATGTTGATGAAGTAATTCAAAGAAGATCTAAATAAATAGAGTGACATGCCACATTCATGGATTAGAAGACTCAGTACAAAAAGTAAGCACAATGCTCTCCAAATTTACAACCTGTTTTAATGTGCTTTCTAAAAAAGAGTCTACATGGTATTGGGTGAGGATCACAATTTCTTTTTCCTTCTTTAATTTAATTTTAATTTATTGCATACATTCAATCAGAATATATCACTAAGCTTGTCAAGTGAATTTACCCAACATGAATACACGTCATGCCAGTCCAGTTTAGGAAGCTATACACATTATCATCAACAGATAATCCATTTCTCTGTCCCATAAATGTCTTGCCTGCCTGTTTATTTTTCTCCTTAATTTCTTTCTTTATCCTCTCCCCCTTCTCCCACCCTCTTCCTACGTTGTATTCAGTATCCCTAACCATTTTCCATGCTTCTATACCCTCTAGGAGGATGATGCACCTGGATTCTGCCTTATGATGTTGGGTTGTTCCAGTACCTCTGTACAGTTCATCAGAATGCATTTGTGTGTGTGTGTGCAGATATAGACAACATTACCTAAATTTATATAGAGGTGCAAAGGAACTAGGATAGTGAAAACAATTTCCAAAAAGAAGAAGTACAGTGGGTCCCTCTGTGGTAGCCCAAGTGGTAGGACACACTACATGATACTAGAACCATAAGAGAGGCCCAGTTTTGGGTCCCAGGTCAACTGGAATGTATTGGGCATGGCAGAGTGTGCCAATAATCCTGGCTGTCTGGGAGATGAGGAAGGATCTAAGCGTGAAACCCTGTAAGGGTTT